GTTAAGAAGTGGCATTACACAGGAATAATTCTACTCAGTTTTTTTCGCGTTCCGAAATTATTTATTGATTAGGTTCTCTCATGAGTTGAAATATTCTCGGATCGATGCCGGATTCAGTCCGTAATCAATGCATCATGTTATTCTTAGAAGTTTTAATGTATGTGACACTAAAATATGTAGTGTAATATTAGTAGAAGTGGTGAAAAATAAGTCAGGTTAAATTGTTGGATCGATGGAAATTGATCAATTCACGACGTTTCTGCTCAATTCAACTATTTTAACACTGTTTTCGTCGGCTTTCTCACCTGTAGACTTTTACATCGATTATTTCCAAGTGTTCTCATATAATTTACAGTATGTAGGATCACTTTAAGAGGCCATGAAACAAATAGGGCAGAAACTTTGGCGTACAGATAGATTTGCTTTCTTGTACTTTTCAGCTATCAGAAAAGTTTTTTCGATTGGAGATGATCCAAAGTGAAGCCATAGTCAGTGTCTTACATGAAAACTTATCAGGGTTACTGTATTTCAATAATGATATGGGCATAAAAACAAAAAACAGAAAGAAGAGCAACCACAGCGATGCGAAAATTTGAGCAAAGCTCAGGGCGGAGGTCTGATCGAAACCCGAGGCTACCCTTACCGAGGCTCACCTGCTATCCATCGTGTCAAACTCGGGCCCTAGCTTTATCTTTCTCTCAGTCATTTTTTCCCTTAAGGGTGCTATCAAAAAAAGTAGAAATTGTCAACGTTTTCAGTGAGGCGAACGAATTTCAAACAAATTAAAATATTTTGGTGAACTAGTAAATAGATGATTAGTTAGTTTTTAATACCCACCTTGTTCAGGAACACTTGTCACCAATATGTCAGTTAATCTACTATGAGCATGTCCACAGATTCCGGTCATCATCGTTCGGCTTTATAGACGACGTCTATGATAAGGCAACATGATGATGAGGTTGACGAATATGAATACATCATTAATCGTCGTCCACAGTGACGACGCTTAGCATAACATCACTTTCTTTTAAGTTCCCTTAAACTCATTGAATTAGCGTTTCCTTCTAAATTTCCTTAAACTTGTCGTGTTTCATGAAGCGATCTCAGGAACACATGGAGATAAAGACAAAGCAAAACCAATATGCGATGTGTTCAGTAGAAGGTAGAACTTCACAAACCAACCTTCGTTTAATCTCGGTATAAATGATCATTATACCTTCTTTCATTGTTGAGCTAACATAATCTTGATAAAACAAACTTTATTGGGATAATGTTTCAGAGTCTTCATCCTCCTCAGAGTACGGAGAACTGTGGATATTGATTGGGGTCATTGGCTCTGACGAAGACGAAGATCTCGAAAGGTTAGCTGAACAAAGTTTAATTCATCAGCCTCACATTAGCTCACCAATGAAAGGAAGTACACATAAAACCATTTTCGATATATTTAAACGAGAAACGTTTGTTCTTATGAACTCTATTCAATATAATACAGATTCGAAACTTTTTTTCCTTCTCATTTTTCAGCGATTTAGTTTTTTTGCGACTTATCTTCTGATTCGCTTTTTGCCTGCTTTTTTCGACACCCACTGCAACCCTCTAGCTAACAAGTAAAAATATGAAGTCTGTTAGCAATTGCTATGCATTACAGCCTATTCGTACTGTCGTAGAGGTGATGGTTGGTTAGTTGATCTTTTGATCGTATGCTTTTTTAACTGGATTATTATTTGATCTAACCAATGCCTTGCATGGGCCTGCCGATGTACCAAGTTAGATCGAGATCGAACCAATGACCATGTGTGCACCACAATGCACCACTAACCGCTGCATAAGACACGAATATATATATATATATTCAATACCTTCTTGGATTATTAAGTTAGCACGAGGTTAATAAAAAAGAGTATTTGGATGATGGTTCGACAACTTCGTCTTCTTTAGAGCTAGATTGGCCCTAGTCGATGACCCACACGTTGTGGGTGTTCACTGTCATATCGAAGAACTATGTATATTTGTATATTAATATTGTTATTAAGACGGAAACAATACATTTGTTTCACATCTGTGATTACAACTAGCACAAAACCGTACTAGAAATGTACTGAAACCCCGTGCAAGTCACACTTCATATGATGAAGTACTAGCTCCGAAATCCTATTTTCTGATCAAAAGGTCAGCAACAAATTTCCATTTCGCACCATAATAGAGTAAAAGAAGCAAATCAACTACTTTAGCAAGTCAACAATCGATGCCTTGCGAATTATGTCAATAAAATGATGTACTAGGAAAAAGGTAAACATCCTAACCATTTTATTCAACAACTCAATGTGGTGTTGCTATGCCCGTTGTTGTCATCGTTGTTGTTTCTTTTGCCGTTGTTATTGTTGCTATCATTATTGTTGCTGCTGATGTTGCTTTCAGCTTTAATCGCATGTTATTTTTTATCGATGTTTGTGAGCACTGTTTAACCTATAACGAATGCTATGCATATTATAGTGTTCATTTTCGGTTTAGTGGGTTCTAGAAATTTTTTGTACCACACTATATGTATTCATTCAATAGCACTGGCAAATCAAAGAAGAAGAGGTCAGGACAGGAAAGGTATTCTCTGCACTTAATAATTTACAAAAGACATTTCTTCTAAGACGTTCATTCAAAAGACGTTCATTGACTGGTAATTTAACGGGTTATTTGATTGTTATTGCATTATAATCGCTCTGCTGAATCAGGATTATTGTATGGAATGCACAGGTATAGAAAAGAAATTCCTAAATAGACTCAACATAGGCAGCCAAACCCTTCTAAATCCTGACAGCATCGTGTTTGCATGATGGATCATGGTACCACATAGTAAGCTGTAGGATACCTATCACTCATATCCATAGAATGATAGGGGAAAAACTCTCCTAACAACTCCGTCATATTCACAAACTTCGAGTGCTTGATAACTATTTTCAAGAAAGCAGCAAACCCGTGAGGATCCACAATTAGGCGTCTCCCCATGTGGCTCAACGCAAAGTTGGACGTTTTCGTCACTTAATTAAACAACAAAGAAGCAACAACGACAACAATGGCATGACTTTAACGTCGATCACACCCTTTTTACATTTCGATGCCAATCAAGCTATTCATTCGACAAAACAAAGAACGGCTTTTGAATTGTAGACCAACCCACTACCATGCCCCACTTTCCAAAGATGAAAGTGAAGTAAACAAGGCAGGCACACATTCAGCAAACAAATTAAGCAATATGTATTTTCCTATTGATAAGCTAGCACGGAAATGATAAAAAAAAACTTTCGCCGGGTAACGTCTCGCCGCCTTCGCCCCTCCTCAAGTCCGGATTGATCCTAGTCGATTGTTTGTAGTTCTTCCCCCTTTCCCTCTTCAATAGATTGTTCTTGTCCAGGGAAACCAAAGAATCCCAAAAACAATAAAGCTGAAAAAATTTGCAAATAAATTAATGTTGGAAATATTGTTATCAGTATGGTCACTATGAAAAAGGGGTATGTTGGAATAACATCATTTACAAGGAAAACCTAGTGTTTGTTTAAGAGTTCAAATAAAGCCGGGAGAATTTTGTAAAGAGTGAAAAGTTTTATGGGAACCAAACGGATAATATTAGTTTCTTACCTTGCTTAATTTCTTTATTTTGTTTAGTTTCTTACTTTAAGAGGGTTTCAAAACACAAAAAATTCTTTATGAGAGAGAAAATGGACTTGGATTAATAGGACATGGGTCAGCTAATTTTTCGGAGTATTCTGTCCGTTCAGTTGAATCCGTCAAATTCAGTAATCGCTGAAATCACCACTATTGGATTCCTAAACACGATTGATTTTTCCATCTTACAGGTATGTAAAGACGATTTGATCTAGTGGTTTTTCTGTGAAAGTCCTGACGCATATTTTTTATTGGGTATAAGTGAAGGCGTATTAAGCAGCGAATTGTAGTTAAGAGTTCGATAACGATTCCTAAAAGAATTCGTATATATAAGATTCTATAAAATTCCATACGTTGGTCTGAAACATCAATGGATGTTTTTCAGCATTTCAAGCATTGATGATAGGTGTTTACAATAAATCAGAATATATTTCTCAAGTTTGGTTATCACATGTTCTTGGTGGTCCAGCAACGAATGTATTTCAGACAACAAGCTTTCATTATTCTTATTTAGAATTGCCCATACTTCGCTTGACTATGCTCTTACTTTTGATTTTAAACACGATAACGTTATAAACGTTTTCTCTTCAAATATAGTTATATTAACGAGTTGGTCCATCTAAAAATCCCCTCCTTTCCTCAATTCTACTAGTTGGAAGGTTTCCAGAATTGGCAGAATGTGGGTCACATGTGAACTAAAATCCGTTGTTCTTCCTGCAAGGTGATAACTACTAGATACCTGTTTTTGCTGGATCGGATTAAGTGATTGCTTCCGTATATAAATAAACTTATTCATACAGACATGAGTAGATATGCTTACAGATATGCCAATTCTATCCCGTACACTGTCTCAGCTTCAAGTTGATAACCAAATGCCTTGGAACTGGAAAGCCATGGTGTCTTCAACAAATCCAGTACACTTTTAGCATAATAGAACAAAAAAAGCCGACTATAATCCCCCTCCATAGCGTCTTGCGACTATTCCTAGTCGACAATCATAAGATTTTTAGCCCCATGCAGAAATTTAAGCGCGGTTCTTGGTTTTGAAATGAGTGGACCACATTAAGAAGACCGTATACGCGGAAAAACTAATTAGAGATTTTACTGCCGTCCATGCGATTCATTCGATGATTAATTTGAACGAAGGTGATAGAGGTAAACAGAATGGTTCATATTCAAGGCCATGCACTTGAGTTCGCACATCAAATGGGCGGGTTTTGCACTTAAATTTCTCGATTCTGCAGAGAGTACAAGTCAGACAGAGGCATCAGGACAGTGAAAAGGTTAAACCTCGGCAATATAAAGAACGGCAGAGATCGGTCACGGCACTGCACTCTGCCGCCATGGATCTCGAACACCGCATTAGGGCCTATCGCTTCGTCGCTTATTCGGCTGTTACATTCTCTGTTGTTTCCGTATTGTCGGTATGCATCACTCTTCCAATGGTGTACAACTACGTCCACCATGTCAAAAAAATCATGCATAACGAGATTAACTTTTGCAAAGGATCTGCTAAGGATATCTGGAGCGAAGTAAACAATCTTAAGAACCTCCCATCCGGAAACAGAACCGCACGTCATAGCGGATACGCAAGCGGTGACATCTCTAGAGGAGGTGGTGGAGGTGGTGGAAGTGGAGGAGGAAACTGTAACTCTTGCTGTCTTCCTGGACCCGCTGGTCCTACTGGAACTCCCGGAAAGCCTGGTCGGCCAGGAAAGCCTGGGGCGCCGGGTTTGCCAGGTAATCCAGGACGACCACCGCAGCAACCATGCGAACCGATCACACCACCACCGTGTAGGCCTTGCCCGCAAGGACCACCAGGACCACCTGGATTGGCGGGGCCACCCGGAGACGCCGGAGCACCAGGTAATCCTGGTGCGCCCGGAAGTGGCGGACAACCTGGACCGCCAGGACCTAAAGGACCTCCTGGAGCAAGTGGCAAACCAGGTGCTGCTGGATCTCCTGGACAAGCTGGAGCACCTGCCATCTCTGAACCACTTGTGCCCGGACCCCCAGGAGCGCCCGGAGCTCCAGGACCTCGAGGACCTCCTGGACCCGATGGACAACCTGGGCAACCTGGTGGCCCTGGTATGTTGAGTTGAACTTTTTAATTTATGTTTGCATAGATGTTTTACTTTCGGAACATTAACTTCGTTCTTTTAGGTCAGCCAGGACCGAAAGGACCCATGGGACCGAACGGACAACCCGGAGCAGCCGGAAATCCAGGCGTTCCTGGACAAGCTGGTCCGCCAGGATCAGCAGGAGAACCAGGAATCTGCCCCAAGTATTGTGCCATCGACGGCGGAGTGTTCTTCGAGGACGGAACTCGCCGCTAGTCATTCAACTGGGCGTCGTTTTGTGTATTTCTGTAGAAGACCTAGGAATAAAAGTTTTAGTTTTCAAGATATTTTCTGCACTAGAAAACTCGTTAGTGAAGGTCAAATTAGGTTATATCTGAGTACAAATGTTGGGCACTCCATGAAATAGAGGAAAATTTCAGCGCTGTAAAGAAAAGCGGTGCCCATCGTCGGTGATTAGGATTTACTATTAGTGCACTACACTGTTTCACAGTTTAGTTAAAAGTTTAAGGTATTTTTTCAATAACGGAGTCGATAACTCTAGACATAGACACTTATGTGTCATTCAGGTGTTAATCAGAACACCGTTAAGCTGTTTCAAAAAGAATTGTGATTTAAAAGTGTGCCGAGGAACTGACGATGAGCTCTCTCATGGTTGAAAATGTTTAACGTTTTTACGAAGTCGGAAAATCATGGGAAGCATTATGAATTTCCTATCGTTGCTGTTACTAAGCTTTTCCTAAGTAGAAGAAGGTTTCATGTATTTTGATATATTTAACTGATATAAGTAATATTTATTTTTAAAGAACAACTATTTAGTGAGGCGTTTTCCTTCAATATCACTCTCGTAATCGTCATCGATTTCTATCGAAACAGACATTTCAAAATCTTGTGCGAAATGAGATACATCGTGCTAATCGACCATGATCAAAGCAATGGACCTATTGAAAAAAGACCTCTGGATTGTGAATAAAACTCTCGCTACAGTAATTTAAAAGAAAAGGAACTCTTAAAAACCGTTCAAAGAAGTCCAAACGGACTTATATACCTGTTCTTCGTTTTTAAGTTTACTGTACAATGCTAGTTAAATGTACCTTTGGACTGTACGAAACGAATTTGGAAACCAGTCAGAGAAGAAATGAGTGCTTTGCACTTCAACAGAAGAGTTTGTCATCACTTAAGGACAGGAAAAAGCCTTTAGCGTATCCTGCTTCCGTTTTCCCAGCCTAAGTGTCAAAATATTTTTAGTGTGAACCAGACAATAACGCCTTATTCATTACAAATAAAAATACATCACAAAAACAAGAACTTTTGTTTAAGAACACGAAAGACCGACTTTCTATAAACCTCGGCATAGATAGTTGATATATTTATTTATATGATCTCATAAACTGATCGTCTTAAGCTGACGCGAGGTTGGTATAGGTCTTCGTTGTCGTTGTCGTTGTTTTTGATGTTGTTGGTCGATGGCTGACGTATCGGCGACTTCGCCTTCCTCACAGCCTGGACGTATTTTATATTAGAATATTTTTATTATTCGGTGGAAAAGAAATGTTAAAGTATTAATGAAGATCAAACTTTCAAATAGACGCCATATTGAACAGAAAGGCCACTCACCGTGATGTTACGTGCGGGACTGGCCCACATATAACTCACGTGGAGTTGCGAGCAAGACGCCATGGGATCAAAATATCATTTTGAAATAGGGCGCCAGGTCACGCGTGATAGTGAGGCATTCGTCTTTCAGGGTTTGCCTTCGGATTTTAGAACGTTTTTGGTTGTGACTTTGCTGGGTGACGAAAATATTGCCACAGTGATGCACTCAAATATTGATAGGATGTTCCTCATTGGAAGTCACGAAAAAGCGGCTCTGAAGAAGGCGATATTGCCGAAACGTCAGCTAGCGTTGTATTGTATTGTTTTTTATGGAAGTAAATGTATGCTGTTTAAAAACCTCGCGATTGCTGAACAAGAAAACGACGCATTCATATTCCAATGCCGAGGTTACTAGAAAGTCGATCCTGGGAACTATTAATATTTACTACTTTTTTAGCAATTGCAAAAGCGACTTTTCTAAATTAGTTCACTTTTAGTGAAAACTAGCTGACAGACAGGCGAAACAAAGGACCCGCATGGTGTGGTGGTGAACGCGTTACTCCCCGGAAAGGATAATAGCGCGTTCGTTCCCCACCATAGACACCTGCGGTCCAGAGTTTTGCAAATATCTCAGCAACATTGTGGTTGTATTTCGCTTAGTAACCTGCCATGAAAATTATAGAAGGCAGAAAACAAAACGTTAAAACATTATCCAGCAATAGTTGAAAATTCTCAATGTCCCTGAATACGTGGAAGGACGAACGTCAAGTAAGGTCACGGAAATGAGCAGGAGAACTCAAATTCAGAGAAAACGGATAATAGGTACAGCAGTTGACCTTCATGAAGACATTTATCGCAGCCGTCACTAATCAACTATTTATGGGCTAGCTATTTGCAGTTTCAATATTAGATTTTTCCGACGATTTCTTTATTCGTAAATAATGCTGAGATATTTGAAAAACTCCGAACCGCAGATGTATGCGGTAGGAAACGAACCCGCGCTGTCGTCCTTACCGGGGAGCAGCGCACTTCACCACCACACCATCACCACACCTTCACCGGATGGTGTGGTGGTGAAGTGCGCTGCTCCCCGGTAAGGACAAGGCGTTCGATGTTGACCAACATTTGAGAGATGTGCCATGCATTCGACCACATTCATGGCGTCCACATGGTGACTGAGAGAATGCCATAGCCAAAAATGATTTACGGCGACCTGTAATGGATGTAACATGTCAGCGTTTTTTTTTATCTTTGTATATAAGCTTGATATCAGTTTGAAGACATCGGAACGACGAGAGGGTTGTTGCTCTTGAGGCGAGTCATCAAATCGGCGAACGATTCAGTGTATAGTAATATTTGTTTCCAATTCCTATTAAATATGGTGCTGTTAACCCGACAGCGCTCTTTTAAAAATTTTCCCTATTTCTATACCCAAGCGACTTATGCCCATGTGGTATGGGATTCGAAAGATCTCCTACCCGATTCCATGTCTCATAGCCGTCTTGCGAGTGTATAACCAAATTTTTGTTTGATTCATCTGTAGTTTGACAAGTTATCGCCTTTTCTCTTCAATAATACCATTCAGTTGAATGATAATCGAGCATAATTTCCTTTCGAATTCCACAATAGCCGCGCCAGCGCATTTCCAGCTTTTTATCTCAGGCATATACCACGTTTTTTCGATAGGAAGTAGGATTGCTCTTTGCGAATCCAGTTCTTCTAGAACGCCAGTGATTATAGCTATTGGTCCACCGAGAAACAAATCGAGAACAATATAACAAGTATAGTGACAATATCGTAGATTTTTTATATGACCCGTCTTCACATCCACTGTGCGGATCCCAGCACTTCTCCCACTCTATTCGTTTCGTCGCACCCATTATCCACGAAGATCTTCCAACTTTAACGTGTAGCTTCGGTTGCTGCTTGAGGATTTTCATTTCATTTTGAGTGTCGTAAAATGCTGGTCGAACAATTCTCCCTGGAGTCCTGAGATAGCCGGGTAGAGCGTTCCCAACTGGATTGCAGAGAGTGATCTTTTTCCCGAGAAGCCCAGTACCAATTTCCCGACCCTGGAAGGATGAGAGACTTGATTGGCCCGGAGCGGAATCGAACTAGTTAGCACCACGCTCGTGATGACGGACTTCACTACCACTGTACTATCCGTACCCTCTATCGTAGAGTGAATTTCAGAAGTCAGAGATTGACCATGAAATCTATAACATCTACTTTTATTGCTTCGTTATTATCTAACACTCTACCCATTCACCTATGAATTATTTAGGTATACCAGTCCGTCGATAGAAGTGCGTGATATTTTGAAAGCGTCAGCGAATGAGCAAGAAGATAAAGGTGCTAGCTGATTAGTGATACCGACTGCTGTTCAATGAATTGCTCCCAGAAAAACCAGTGTTTATAAACGGAAAGTCACTATCAACAGCAACAGCCTTGTATTAAAAAACAGTGACGAGTGAGTTTCCTCATTCGAGCGATTCTCCACTGCGTTGGACTCGATGCGATCACGAAGGTCCACATCGGAAGAAGGAAGAGGCGTGGACAACCGAATCGGATTACTCTGGCTCTGAGGAAGGCGAAGGCGTCGAAACGTCGGCCAAATAAAGTCTTTTAACAGCCTCGTTTTAGGTTCTCAATGGAAAAATACACAAACGCTTACATTTTTGTGTGCTTTCTTGTGTGTGTACAAAGATTTTTGACCACGGTGAGAGCCCGGCTTCGCCGATCAGGAGGGCGAAAACGCAAAAAACACTTGAACATCTAATGGAATATATCTTTTTCTATAAAGAAATCTTTTCTCTGAACAATGAGAAACACTTTGAGTTAGATTCTTTTTCATCAGTAGGTGAATAAAGGCCATATGAATCACGCTTAAAAAGTCGAATATAGCTTTACGATCAATAGGTGCTTATGGGTCTCGCACAATAATGTACGGAACGATCATTCATCTTTTCCAAGCAGAGATCCAAGATGACAGAACGTTTCTGGTGTTTCACTTTTAGCCTCCAAAAGATCAGTTAATGGTAAATAACACCAAACCGATAAATATATACGTATATATGTCATATTTTCTCATTTTAAGCGGCGTACATTCACATCGTTTTACGGATAAGAGTACTTCTTTGCACACCATTCGTTTCCTCGCGCACCTACCATCCACGAAGGGAATGACAACAAAACAGAGTTCAGAAGGGCGTAACTGTCATCTCAGAAAGTCACCTACAGAAACGACTGGACATTCTCGTGTTTTTTCTCAAGCAGCTGTATTATCCACTGGAATATCTTGTAGATCATGGCATACAATTTCGACAGCGACGAAACACACGGTTTTTGAGGAGAGGTCGTCAAACTAGCTAGATAGACAAGAGTATCGTGTCAAATCTAGTTCTCTAGTGACTGTGGCTTAAAGTGACACACACCCAGCTGCATAAGAAAACTCTACGCGTTATGTTTTATGAACGAAACGACACATCATAAACCTTGTTTTTACGAAATCTCGGCATATTACACATCCGATTCAAATTCCGACGCCGTTGATGCTTGGGTTCCCGTATGGGCGTGGCCAACATTGCATATAACGAAAAGGATTGCGAATAGCATTGTGAAACAGGAGATTATTGACAAAGCAAGCCGCCGATCTGGATGCTATATAAGGAAAAATCAACGTTAACCGACAGTGGTTCCGTTCAACATGGACCTCGAACACCGTATTAAGGCCTATCGCTTTGTCGCCTATGCGGCTGTCACTTTCTCAGTGGTTTCTGTACTGTCAGTGTGCGTCACCCTACCAATGGTGCATAACTATGTTCACCATGTTAAAAGAACCATGCATAACGAGATTAACCTTTGCAAAGGATCTGCCAAAGACATTTGGAGTGAAGTAAACCAGCTTAAAAACCTACCCTCCGTAAACAGAACCGCTCGACAGGCTGGATATGGTGACCTTGACGTCTCCAGAGGAAACACCAATCTTGGAGGAAACTGTAATTCCTGCTGCCTACCCGGACCTGCAGGACCACAGGGAACACCTGGAAAACCCGGCCGCCCAGGAAAACCTGGAGCGCCGGGCTTGCCGGGTAACCCAGGTCGACCGCCACAGCAGCCATGTGAACCGATCACACCACCACCGTGCAAGCCATGTCCTCAAGGGCCACCAGGACCACCTGGTTCACAAGGACCACCTGGAGATTCTGGAGTACCCGGTTCACCCGGTGCACCTGGACAACAAGCTGCCCCTGGTCAACCTGGACCTAAAGGACCACCTGGACTTCCTGGAAAGCAAGGCCCTCCGGGTGCCAGCGGTCAACCTGGAGTGCCTGCTGCTTCCGAACCTCTTGTTCCTGGACAGCCTGGACCGGCAGGACAACCTGGACCGCAAGGACCACCTGGACCACCAGGCAGTCCTGGCTCACCTGGAGGACCTGGTACGTTAATTCCCATGTTTCCTTCACTAGTGAATTCTATTTGAAGACCGCCAATTAGTTTGGCTGTCGCGCTTTATTACGATGTGGTCTATTTGTTGTAGGTCAGCAAGGACCTAAGGGCCCACCAGGAGCCGATGGCCAGCCTGGAGCTGACGGAAATCCTGGGGCTCCTGGAGAACAAGGGCCGCGTGGTGGTGCTGGAGAGCCAGGTATTTGTCCGAAGTATTGCGCTCTTGATGGTGGAGTTTTCTTTGAAGACGGTACTCGTCGTTAAACAAGTATTGCACACTAGTTCAAGACATTAAGCGAATGGTCTAATAAATGTTTCTCGAAGAAAGATGTATTTTGTATCACAGTTAACAATAAGTCATATGGAGTCATGTTAAACGGTATATTTGTTCCACGATATTTCTAATCCAGTCATTTGGAAAACTCTTTCCTAAACAAGTTCATATGATGCAATAATACCGCCATGTCACCAAAACAGCTTTAAAAAAATATAAGAATAAATGCCAAAAACCCTAAAATGAATAGGAGGGATGAATGCCCAGGGGGCACACACGACATGACCCCGCGTATTCGCATGAATTTCCGATGTTGGATGGTGCAGTCATTAACCATATTCAACTATAATCAGCTGTTCTAATTTTCATCACTGGAAGTCACGTAAAAAGTGATGAGTTTTTCGAGAAGCTGTCGATCATGTAATTACCGTAGAATTTTTCTTCTTTTTGTAAGTGGTATTGAAGCGTTTGGCCTAGTAGATTGTATATCAGTATACCCTTCTAGACTCTGAAGAAGGCCATGCTGCCGAAACGTCAGCTAGCGTTGTATTGTATTGTGTTTTTCTATAAAAGTAAATGTATGCTGCTTAACAACCTCGCGATAGCTGAACAAGAAAACTACGCATTCATATTCCACTGTCGAGATTACTAGAAAGTGAATCGTGGGAACTTTAAAAATACAATCTTTTCTAGTGAAACCCTGGCATTTTGTTAAAGACTAGTTGTCTAAAATCCTTTGCTAAGTAATTTTTACGCACAAATATTTCCATCATCAGTCTTTCCTCTCTAGCCTTTCCTATTTCCCTTGATGTTCCAAAAATTCTGCGCCAATTAAAAAATGAAAAAATCCTGCCCATGAGAAAAGATGACTTCCTTGATGCCTTTAAAAAAGAACTGGAGGAGAAAAAATCTAGAGCCACATGTTTAACAACGAAGACATTCTTCAATAAGTAATACGAGCAGTTTTTTCAAAGACGTAAAGGTGGAAAGGAAATTTGCCCAACAGAAGGTACGTGCCGAATCAAAACAAGTTCACTGAAGATTTTTTTGCAAGTACAGCTCTCAATGTTGCTGAACATCAGTGCAACATGACAAGATTTAAAATGCGAACTACTTTTCTTAAAGTTCATAGAAATTATACTCGCTTTTTAACGTGATCAATACCTATATTTTCCTTGTATATTACCTTATGAGTGTGTCAGCATAATGGTCTTCATAAACCAAAGAAACGTCTCCAAAAACTGGACACATGCAGCTTTGCTGTTCTTCTCACAAAATTTAATAACCTTTTTACTTCTAAGTGGGAAAACTGGAACGACGAAGAGAACGGTGTGCTGTAGTGATAGGAGTGATAAGCTTAACTGTAGAAGGAAAATACTTGGCAGAATGACATAATTATAGCTTTACTAAACAAGTAACGAAAAAACCATGTCGCTTCAAAAATCGCTTAAAACTTATCGTAAAACAAAAATATAATGAAAAAATTCTTAAAATTCTATAAGCCGTTACTTATAGAAATTACATGAAACCGCTGGTGTTCGAGACAATAAAAGAAGAAATAAAAATCGATTGCCAAAAACGGATGCAGAAAACGTCTACGATAAGAAAAGGCTTTCTAACAGTTTTTTAAATCTCGTAAACCAACGTTTCAGTCAAGAACGTTATTGATGAGGTCAAGAGAATCTGGTTTTCTCAATGTCATTGCCAAGGGCCAATCTCATTCCAAAGCAAGAAAGTAAAAAGCGCAGAAGAACGCCTAAAGAGTTCAACTTTTTCCTACCGTATACTGATTTACAATAACTGGTGTTCGGCTTGTCAAATCTTATTTCTTACGTTCATCTGGTCGTCCTCTTTTCAGTGATTCGTCGTCTTACAATGCCAATCCCCAGTTGGTTGGTGTAGCGAAAGCCGGTTGTGCTACGAGCCGTCCATCGGCTGGGGCTGGTTTTTGCATAGAAAAATGTCGTAATTAAACTTGGTCTTAGAAATAATATCTTAAGAAACACTAGAAACACTATATCAAAAACAACCTTTTGTTTAAATGAGGAAAGGAAAACTAGACGAGGTTTTTTTTGCTCCTGCGCACATTAAGAACCCGTCGAAATTCTTCTTTGTAGGACAAAGTCGTCTTGTCTCGACATTGCATAAAAACGTTTATCTCTGGAAGAAATGGAGACGAAATGTCTACAGAAAACACTCGGCTGTTGCTTTTTTATCGATAGCTATATTGTTGATCAGTCGTCATTTACTGAAGAGAGTTCGAGTTCATCCGATCATCAACAACAAACGACAAATGTTGCATGTAAGAAATTGGAACTCGTCCGCAGCTTTGTTTCTCACTCTTTTCACGAAGGTAAAAAAGTGAAATCGCGATGTCTCCCAGTTTTCAACTAAATGAACTTTCTATTTGTTCCAAACTATTGGATGGACGGATTATTTTAGGATGTTGTTTCTGACTGTTCAACTATAAAAAATGATTTAACGTTTTGTTTTCTGCATTCTATAATTTTCATGGCAGGTTACTAAGTAAGCGAAATACAACCACAACGTTGCTGAGATATTTGCAAAACTCTGGACCGCAAGTGTCTATGGTGGGGAACGAACGCGCTATTGTCCTTTCCGGGGAGTAACGCGTTCACCACCACACCATGCGGGTCCTTTGTTTCGCACGTCTCTCAGCTATTTCTATCGATCTTTTTGCCACAGCAATCACCCGTCAGCGGGTAAAAAATGAAATGGCTCGAGTTGTTTTGAGTCGATTTTCTTCCTTTTTTAAACTAATGTACACTCCACAAGGCCTGATTTTGTTACTCCTCGCGAAATAAAATTGTAAAATTTCGTTCACTAAACTTTTAGACGACGTCATCGGCATTCTAATAGTTCGCGACATGAGTTTCTCATAACAGATGATCAGCAGTTGTTAATTTGAAAGGAACGCGCTGAAGACAAACGAAACAAAACTAGATAACAAGATTTTAAAAAAATGCTGTGAGAAACCACAAACATGGAAGAAAACTATAAAAGCGAAAAGGATAAAGCTCTCGGCGTTGATGAATACCTGTGGGATGCTCCATGCATTCGACTTCACTAAGTATCGCTGGAGGTGATTGAATGCATATGTGGCCTTTACAATGATTGGCGGTGGCCTATCGATTTATCGAGCCAGTGCTGCTATCCTCCCAGACAATTGTGGTACCAATGTGTCGACCCCGGAGGCGTGGAAGGCTTGGTGAGCTTTGGGCATGGGGATCATCCCGTGTGTATTGCAGGGCTCCGAGCACGGCGCCACACCCGTTAAACCGCCCTCCCTTGTGAGTGGGTAGGTCGTCCAGAACTAACTATGATGCAAAATGTGACATTCTGAGAAGATGAGCCAAGTTTTATCAACATTATCTGCATAGCGTTAAAGTATTTGAAAATCTCATGTACAGCAATCTAATGAAAGTCTTCATGCGGGTGTAAAAAATGAAGCATGTCTCAATTAAGTTGACATGGACGGAGTGGTTAGAGGTGGCCTGCATGCGTTAATGATTAACGGTTCAATTTAGCCCGAGGCCCACAAGCCTAAATTTTTCCGTGGTTTGCAAATTAGTATTAGACTTGTATAGTAAAAGATCGGTCCGATCGATACCGGCGGGAAGCTTCCTGAGGCGAATACCTCAAGCGGTCATTTGGTCGTGCAAATAGAAAATAAGTTGGAGGATACAGGATAAAAGATACGGAATATATATATGTATATATATACATACATATATATATATATATATATACATATGCATACGAACGTTCTGTTAGCACTGGAATCTAACTTGAATCTGTTAACGGCCGGAAAGAAATATGCTAATATAATCTCGCTAATTTTAGAAAACTGTTCAAAAAAAATAACCGTGATTTTTATACACTAATGAACGGTCGATTCTCTACGTCTCCAAACCATTGGCAGGAGCTTGGAAAACATACGCCAAAAAAACATGTAAGAAAAAAACTCGATAAAAGGCGAGATCGGCAGGGACCAAGAAAGAAAACTTACAGGAGGCAAATGTTGCGAAATCCACCCACTGTGCCCCCTCTACGAATTCTTCACTGGAGCCATCCTAAACAGGATTAAAAGAACACTGGACGAGGGAGAACCATGTGAGGTACTAGGGTATCGAAAGGGATTCACTACGATGAAGCACATCCACACGATAACGCGACTCACTGAAATATCGTTAAGAGTACAATAAACAGTTCAGTCTCACTTTCATCTATTTAAAGAACACCTTTGACTCAGCTGGGACAGAAGTGATTATAGAAGCTCCGGGCAACCCCGGAGTTACTTCTCAACACGTTAAGAGCCTTAACGAGCCGTGTAACCAATTCACAATAAGAAAGTCGCCATTCTACTAAAAAAGCAATCTCCTTTGCGCTTTAATAACTCTTTTCGGCCAGTTTACAAATCCTGTTAAAATGAAACGGAACGTAGTCTTATTAGCTAATGTGTTACAGCGTTTAGATAATGGCCATAAGACGCAGAAACCTTTACTGGACGACATTACAAAGTTTCTTGCTAAAAACACCTTATAAATTATTACCAGTCGCACATTTAGTGATAGCAGAAGCAGTGATAAAATGACGAGAAGCAAAGTAGCACAGCGAATCCTTAACACAATGTGCGGGCAGGTGGCCGGAGAATGACGAGTTTCCATCTTTTTTACTGGAAAATCAAAGAGTGCTGAAATATTCAGCAGACTGCAGCACTAATCAGTCGTTGAATACAGTAACTCAAATAACTAATAGAATGCCGTCTTTCAATTGAATCTATTTCTGAGAAGAAAAGCGCAAAACATGATATCTACAGCGTGTTTCCGCTAGACGGATTGGAAACCATGGAAAATTTCCTTCTAGTTTTACTTTTTATTTACTTCTTATTCTTTTTTCATGAAAGTGTATGGTGTTAAGTAGAAATACAAAGATGTTGAGATCGAGCAAAACTCAGAACCTCAGATGGGTTTTGAACCCTAACTTGCCCTTACCTGGGGTCACGCACTACCACACCGGCTAAAGCCCTTGCTTTACGTTCCTCTCAACCACGTTTTTACTCTTTTTTCCTTTCTTTTGCTTATTCCTTCTTGTTTCCAAAAGCACATAACCATTTAATCTATCGTAATAGCTATCTGATACCAAATTAAACTTCATCGAAAACTAAAGTTACTCCTGAGAAATAATGTAGTGAAAAAAGTAGAGGACGGGACTTTCGCCGTTCATCAATCTCTAAGCGATCCAGCGAGAACTCGATTTCACCGATTTCATCAGCAATCATCATAGGGATTGAATGAATATATAGCGTGTACAATAACTGTGCTGGTCAATCGTTGTATCAAGTGAGCGCTGCTATCCTCCAAGCCAACACTGGTACCCGTTTACCGACCCTCGAGTGATGGAAAGCTCGTTGAACTCGGCGTGCGAGATGAATCCGCTACCGATCTAGTGTTAGATTAAAATATAGCAAGAAAAAAATGCTCCAAAATATAGCAACTATTCCCAGAATAGTTACTATTTCTTTCTATTACTGTATACTTAGAATACTAGCTCATGGAAGCAAGAAGAATAAGGTACGACGTCATCGGCCTGGCCGAGACGAGACGATGCCACAACGCCGTCTACGACACCAGAGAGGAACTGTTCCTCGGAACATGCGACAGTAGAGGAATCGGCGGCGTCGGCGCTCTCGCCAACACAAGTTTGTCCATGAATATCGATTCACTCGAACAGCTTACAAACCGAATTGAATGTTTACGATTAAAAAGATGAGGAACAACACCGGCTTTGACAATCTTCGGCGTTTACGCGCCGACATTATACTATGACGAAGAAGAAATCGAAACGTTCTACGTGGATTTGGAGAAGTTGTACAGAGAACACACATTCTTCAAGGTCATCATTGGAGATTTCAACGCCACCATTGGACCAAGAAGAATATCTGAGGAATATCACATTGCAACCCACGGTTTGGAATGGATTAAGCAGGGTGAACATCTTAGTTTATCACGGTGACCATGATCATCCATGGTAACTCACAATTCCAGACGCCCCAGCCTCAAAGGTGGCCGTGAGAGTCTCCCAATGTAAAGTACCATAACGGAATAGGCCACATCATAGTAAATAGGTTTTGCCTAACCGATGTCGCTGTTGTCCCAAAATTTTACACGGGATCAGATCATCGTCTCCACCGTGCAAGATTCTATTCTTCGCGAAGAGGAGAAAAGCCGCTAAATTCAAAAGCCGAAGTCCCAGAACTGCTGTAAACTGGGATTTATTCAATTCATTAGCCGGCTGTTGGAAAGATGCCGTTGTCGATAACATCGACAAAGAATACGATCGGCTCATTCAACATCTTCACGTTAGCGCTATGAAAGTTGAGAGTTCGAAAGTCACCAAGAGACGTTTGTCTCCAAAAACACTAGAACTGATACGCCAGCGTGGAATCGCACGAGCTGCAGGCAACCGCGAACTAACGTCCGAACTTGTAAAACAATGCAGACAGGCGATAAAAGAAGATCTTAAAGAGAGAAGTGGAGCAGTAATGGTCGAAACTGCGGAGGCTGGGAAAAGCATTCGAAAACCCACCGAAGCTTCGCCAATTACAAGACCAAAATGATTGCACTCCGACGCCCAGACGGAACAGTTACAGCGTCCAGAAAGGCAGTGAAGAAAACCATTTCACGAATACTACTCAGATCTCTTCGATAGCCACATCCACCTTTCGTCATATGAAATAAAGTAGGATGGATATGTTGTGCCACCGATTCCCCTTTCGAAATCCGACATGCTATTTCGTCAGTGAAAAAGTGAGCGGCACCAGATCCGGGCAGGATAAGACCAGAACACCTGAAGAACCTTCCGCCAGTCCTCGTAAACACACTGGCTTGGCTCTTCACACATTACCTGTCTGAATGCAAGGTCCCTACTCAGTGGAACACCAACAAGACCGTGTTATTGTTCAAGAAGGGTGACCTACACGATATCGGCAACTATCGCCCAATTTGCTTGCTGCCTGTCTTCTACAAACTTTTCACTCGAATCATCCCAAACGGGATTGACATCGATTTACAGAAGGCCGCTGATTCAATTGAGATAGAAGCAGTCATGGAAGCCCTTCATAGTCAGGGGTCCTTTAATCAGTAGACAAAGATTCTTCGTAAGCTGTACAAAAATTTCACAGCCAAGACATTACCATTCTACAATGATATTAGCATTGACATCAAAACAGGAGTTAGGCAAGGCGATACCATCTCGCTAAAATTATTTACCTCCACCGTCTAGAACGTAATGCAAACATTGGAATGGGATAATATGGGAGTGAAAATCGATGGTCGGCAGTTACACCACCTTTGCTTTGCTGATCACATCGTCTTTATAAAACCAAACATTAGCCAAGCGGAACGTATGCTTGCCGACTTTGATAAAACCTGTGGAAAGATTGGTCTTCAAATAAAACTCACGAAAACGATGTTCATGAAGAACGGATTGGTTTCGTATACCCCATTCATGCTCAACGGAACGAATATCTCCGAATGTTCCAGTTGTGTCTACCTAGGTCGGGAAATCGATATGGTGAATGTCTTAGCTCCAAAGCTGAGCAGAAGGAAACGAACGGCTTGGGGAGTTTTCAAGAGCATCGAGGATGAAGTGAGGAGAACAAAGAACACTCGACTCCGTGCCCACCTTTTCGACTCAACGGTACTCCCTGCCCTAATGTATGCGTCAGAAACCTGGTAGCTGCGTAAGCAGGATGAAAGATCGCTCAACGTTATCGAACGCGCAGCCGAAAGTCTATGATAGGAGAATTCCGTTTCACGCAAGTAAGAGATGCGATCCGAAGCTCCGAGCTGCATCAACGATCAAAAATCAAAGATGCCGTTCTCCACATCAAGCAGTCTAAGATAAAGTGGGCCGGGCACGTAATACGTATGAATGACAACCGATGGACAGGAGCCGTTAGTGACTGGATTTCTCGAGATGTCAAACGTACTGCAGAAAGACCACCGACCCGATGGTCAGAGTTTTTTACGAAGAGCCTAGAAGAAAGTTATGATGCTCGACGTGTCTCTAGAGCGAGCAGAACTCACTGGGCTACTTCTGCACACGACAGGGAAAAGTGGATGGTTTACTGGCGCCTGCTCGGGTCACTAGATGATCAACGGGACTACAGGTGACAGGTGATACTGTATGCTTCTGTAGTAAGGATCATATGTACTGTTTTTCAAGTTGCCTGGCAAGTGTAGTAGTACGTAAATATTTTGATCCTATCCTAAGAAACTTCTTGTAGAGAATTTCTCTATCAAATAGTGAATTCTCTATCTACCTAACAAACATATTCAGTAAGTCGACAGAGACGGCCTTTGCCACAACGCCACCAGACACAGTATCTCGTAACCATCAGTCACACCACCAGGCATGCTATTGGGTACGTTTCATTGCTTGGGGAATAGTCCCCGCGACCCGAGCTTTGACCGTATGACCAACGACACTAGCTTGGACAGAGCCATGCCCACTAGAACCGGGATTTGGCAGTCTCTATTGAGTATTACATTCCACTTCATTGCCTTATTCTTATGCCAGTATTTTTCAATCGCTATTCCTGTTGTATTTGTGTTGCATTTGTGTATATAAAGGTTTAATCCCAATGTCGAAAGGTGTTACCCTGTGCCAACTACCAAAAGTCCGGCGTGGCGTTTTCTCACGAAGTCGAGTATTCTGCTTGAAGCCAGTGGCTATTTGTTGCCGAGAACTGACTCCAAGGCCTGTTTTCCGCTAGCAACTGCGATATAAAATAGCTATATGCCTTTTTCGAAGTAAACTGAGGTCGTGAGTTGACTTTTCAAGAATAATGAAGGAATTCATAATTTAGGAAACATAACAAAGTGCTCATTTGTTGGTGTCTTCAAAGTCCTACGTAAATTAGGAGGAACGGGTCAGCGTGACGGAATAATTATAATTAACCACTATGAAATATAAAAATTTTCAAAAAGCGTTGCAAACAGTTAACTTGTAAAAATATGTTCTAAAGCAGCAAATCCAAATGTTCGATAAGGAAACCACTAAAACGATTAGGTTACAAAACTTCGCCCAGTGATAAGAATTCTCCGTCTTGAACTGTTGTAATCAGATCCATCGTGTCAAGTTTCCAACCTCATGATATGATTAATCCCTATTCTAGGTTCCAGAATGGAAAGCTCAGCAAAAACTGAAAGTAAAAAGGTAGCTATCACCTTTATAATGTCTATATCACTGTCTAAACGGCATCGTTACGATTTCCGTTCTACCCCAAAATCACACAGTTCTATTTTACGTCGATCTCGTCCATTTCCGCTTAATAATACTCATTATTTTAATGAACGGGTTGTGGAATTGCTTAAAGAGTAGGCAGAACGAATTAGAAGAATCATAGTGTAGCGTAATGGCTGAGTAATGAGTTAGTACGGTTTTTTCATGATCTACGGATCGATAACTGCTCATTGAACATACTAATTACTCTTAGTATCAGCATGATGAGAAAAAATCTATATGTAAGTGTTAGTAGTCCAAGCTTGATATGATTACTTCTATCATAAAAATACGATGTGCTTATGTCGAAAAAGTTCATTCTTGTTTCTTTGAAACAATCAAAAAGAAGTGAAGCATGTCTGAAATTCTTATAATTCCAAAACTAACAAAGAAAGTTGAAGAACTTCCAAACGAATTTCCTTTAACCTTGGCATGACTATTCAACATTTGTTCTTACATTGATAGAATAGCACGAGGTCGATAAAAACCTTTGTTCGGCTTTATTCCAAATTTTGAACTTTATTCCTAATATAGTTTTTACCAAGTTCGCATTAGCTTAACAATGAAGGTCGAAAGAGTTTGAAAAAAGCTTTAAAGTAATAATTGTTCGATACCGGACTTCAACAAACGTGAACTCGTCCTAAGACTGCCGGTTAGAATCACTATGAGTGGTATGTGACATCACATATCATAGGTTTCTCCGAGACAGCTGCTGCCTTTGGACAAGATCCGGAATTGACATACATCGATGGTTACGGCAATGTTGGAAAATATTGGTACAGAAGTTCGGCTGCATTTTGGAATGAACGTCTGTTGCGCGTTTGTCATTGATCGTCAGAGCACAGAGTGAAAGCATATCGCTTCGTCGCCTTCACAGCTGGCCTATTTTCGGCGGTATCTGTGATATCATTCGGCATCACTTTGCCGATTTTTGTTAAACATATTATTGAAGTAAGACGTGAAATTGGGAATGACGTGCGTTACTGCAAGGTAATATTTTTGTTATGCATGTTTGTCCTCACTCGATTCACGTGGTCCATCATTCATATACGATTCAAACGGTAGCTCTTTTAAAATGAGTAATATATGGTGAGCACTGGTCGGGAAATCTGTAGTGCACACCGTCATTAGTGCGGGCCTTGCGAGCCCATGTCGTGGTATAATCCAAATAGCAATAACTCCGGAGTTAGAAATTAGGTATCAGGATTTTCTGATGGGATGGATGGGAGGGTTTTTGCAAATCCTAGGCTGTCATTGACTTTTGCAGTTGTTGATAGAGCCGAATTCATTCCTTCTCGCAGCAGCTCTGTGTTTCTAATTGCTAGTCCCGAATTTCCTATCTTTTAAGAATGTTCTTTTCCATTTAAAGTCCTTCCTACTGAAATCTTTCTGTTGTCGGACACGATTTGTTGTTCATTACAGCGCGATCGACGAATGGGTGTAGTTTTTTGTAGGGTGGAAGAAATGCAGAACAGACAGAATTCGATTATGACAGAAAGAACTTACAAATTTCATCATAACAAAAGCGGTGTATCATTAAAAGTGGCGTTAGTTTATTTTAGTGCTTCCCTTAATAGAACTCTTTCCAGCCATGCTAATATTTCTTTCGTTCTTCATAAGTCGTGTCGTTCATTTAATACTCTCCCAGTGTAGTGGCTCTCTCACTGAATCACCTTGGACTTTATATTCAAAGGTATCAACCAGTCGGTGTTGAACAAAATTTTGCAGTCACATAAGGAACCGATTAAAGTTGGACTTCATGCCATAGATGTATTAATTCGAACTGCTATAATTACCTCTTTCATTATCTTAGCAAAGATGTTTTTTGCTTTTTTCAGGATTCAGCAAAGAAAATCCTTTACGAGGCTAGAAGTATCAACACTGTTCCACCTAGCAATCGAACAGTTCGACAGTTAAGCTACAGTGATGCGGCAGTCAAAGACTTTGAGGAAGATATCTGTGCAGAGTGCTGTCTGCCAGGGCCGCCAGGTCCGCAAGGACCACCAGGAAGACCAGGACGCCCAGGAGCACCCGGACGCCCTCCACAAGAGCCTTGCGAGGAAATCACACCACCACCATGTCCCCCGTCTCCACCTGGACCTCGTGGTCCACCAGGGAAACAGGGATCTCCTGGAGCTCCAGGACCGAGTGGAAACCCAGGCAAACCGGGAGCCGACGCTTTGCCCAACCCTCCGGGACTTAAGGGACCACCTGGACCTCCTGGAGATATAGGTCTATCCGGCCAACCTGGTCTACCGGAAGAGGATGCTGTCATAAATATTATTCCAGGACAGCCAGGTCCCATTGGTCCTCCTGGACAACCAGGCCCACCTGGACCAGATGGAATGCAAGGGCCTCCTGGAGCCATAGGTAAGTTTTGTTTTTCTTTAAACAAGTGGTCAAGAAAGCTCTCATTTGTTATTTAAATGGCCATTTGCTTTCGGTGAGTTAGCACTTGCGTCAGCAGACGTATTTTCATTGAATTTGAGGAGAAATTGGACTCAAAGGAGCACAGAGACCAGAAGAAAGACCAGGTGCAGATGGCAATCCTGGCGCGTCTGGAGAATCTGGATCGCCAGGTACACCAGGAGCGAGAGGGATATGTCCCAAATATTGTGCCATAGATGGCGGAGTGTTCTTCGAAGATGGATCACGACAATAACACTGCATTTATTTCATTTTTAGCACATCTAATTCTACCTTATAATGGAACACAAAAAAAATAAAACGACCTTATTGACATAAATGGTAATCATAGAATAATGGCAATGAAAAGTCGTCCACAGATTTCAGTGGGTTATATCTTATAGCAAAAGATAGAACCCTAGTGGTTGCTTAAATAATAAAAAAGAATACATATCTCAGAAAACATAAATGAGTCGTTTTCTTTTTCAGCAATCGAGCAAAGTCATAGAGCAAATGTTAACTTCCATATACATAGAACACACACAACACGAACCTTCTTCGAAGAAGAAACGTGTGCTGTATAACAACCTCGCGATTGGCGAAAAAGAAAACGACGCATTTATATTCCAATGTCGAGGTTAATAGAACGTCGATCTAACGAACTTTTTCGAAAAACACAACTAGCAAGCGATAACGAATGCCTCCTACTCCAAAAGCATCTTCAATTCCTTGTGCATGAAATGTGGGCTAAGTTTCGATTTGCTACTTCCTCTGCCTAGCAGTTCATTATGTGAAATTTTTCGTTTGGAATCGGAACTGAGTCATTGCATAAACATCGGATTTTGTCAGTTTTAAAAACACTCTGCTGAACAGCACTACGAAAAATACTCGCGAAAACCATTACAATTGGGAACAAACGTAGGACAACAGGTGGGTCATTTTTTGAGGTACTAGGTCGTTGATTAGTTTTCACATAATATTAAAGTGTTTCGAGTTAGCTGAATAATTTGAAAACTAATCAGTTAGGGCTAGCGATTGGTAATCCCCTTCGCCCAGCGATGAATAAAGTATTGCTGTAAAACAATGCTTAGGAAGGCCGGTCTGGAGGAATTCGTTTGTGATAGTAGATATACCTCCCAATACTATTCGTCGCCAATTAGTTCGCAACCGCCTGTATGACCGTCTGTGTGAAACAACAAATTACGTAACTTGCCCTTACGGCCGGGACGGTGATTGCATGAGTTCAGGTACGAGATACCTGATGTCTTGTAGTAATTGCGGAGATGAATATATTGGCGAAACGGGCAGACCTTTGTGTATCCGTATAAAAGAACACCTAGATGGCAAACGAAAACTAAGACGAAGCACCCCACTAGGCACGCATAGGATACAAAAGCATAGCGGAGACGATTTTGAAGTAAAAGTCAATATTCTTGTAAATGAGACTAAAACACCAGCGCGAGATCTTTTTGAGGCTTTTTGGAATTCATATTCCAATGCCGAGGTTAATAGAAAGTTGATCCTGGGAGCTATTACAAGATGTACCAGCAAAATACTTTCGACTTGTGAAGGAAGCACTATCACTAAGACACAGGTAGTAAATAATATGTTAAAATTGTGATTATAACTGCAGCCTCAGTTTAACTAGGTTCAATGCCAACTTCAGCTCCCTAGATCAATCCCGTTTACGGGTGATTGCCGATGGTCAAAAGATCGATAGAACTAGCTGAGAGACAGCCGAAACTAAGAAACCGCATGGTGTGGTGGTGAACGCGTTAGTCCCCGGAAAGGACAGTAGGCCGTTCGTTCCCCAGCGCAGACACCTGCGGTCCGGAGCTCTGCAAATATCTCAGCATCATTAAAAGCTGACAGCACGGTTAGAGTAGAAAAAACTGCATGAGAGTGAAACAAAGCATGGGCCTCAGTTGGAGAGGTGGACGGCACGTGAACCCACGGTAGTTGTAATCACTGTTTCCAAGCCCACTTCAGGTTCCGAGGTTTGCTCATATTTAAGCACCAATGTGATTATAACTGATGTTTTGTTTTTCAATTGTTGGAAACCGACTGCATAAACCCTTAAATGAGTGAAGAATGTGTCAGGCTCTGCTCAAAAAAGTCGTCCTGAGCGTTGGCGCGAGATTACATGTGATCGCAAGGTTCTCCTATCTGCGGACGACTTTTGAGTTTCTGCACTTAATTCCAAACGCCTCGAGATTTTTGCTCGCAGATGTTTTGGATTACTCTGTGAGGAGAGTGACTTCTATTTCAAAATCCTCTCGTTTATATCTTCGTATTATGTGGGCGCCTAGTGGAGTATACCGTTCGATTTCCAGCTTTCCAATCAAGTGTTAACACGTTTTAAACTAAACAAGTTTTAGAAGAGAAAAACCTTAGTTCCAGCTACACAGTAGCCATAAATTTCGCACGTGACAGGTTCGAGAACTAGTAAAATCAAAAGCTATTCGACAATGAAAAGACCGGCTTTCAATAAACCTGGGCATAAACGGTCGATATACGTACTTGTATTCTCAAAAACTGCCCGTGTTGAGCTGACACGAGGGTAGTACCAGTTGTTCTTGTCGTCGTGAATCGGTGTTTTTTTTTTGGCAGTATCGCCTTCTTCTGAGTCTCGAGCTATTTTATGGCTATCCATATAGTAAGGGCGCGTGTGGCGCAGTGGTTGGATTCGCCACTGCGACACACGTGGAATCGATCACCGCGCCCACGCCCACCAAGCCTTCCATCCCTCCGGGGTTGCAAAATTGGTAGCAGACTTCTATGGGAGGATAGCAGTACTGACCCGATACATCCATATGCCAATACGAGTCATTGTAAAGGCCACATATGCATTCAATTACCTCCAACGATGCTTAGTGAAATCGAATGCATGGTGCATCCCTCAGGGATTCATCAACGCCGAAAGCTTTATCCTTTATCATTTCATCCATATAGTATTTAATTTCTTAGTTTTTGCGTATTTTTTTTTCACTTCAGGAAATTATGTGAATTGGCACCAAAATGATGCTAATGGCACTGTTAGGGTGAGAAACTTGCTGAGAGCGTCAATACAAGGGCCTCATTGGTGCTGAGCGTGAGCCCGCGGAAAGGGTAATAGTGGTGCGATCTAGCCTGCGGTCCAAGTTTTTCAAATTTCTCAGCATCATTGAGATTATCCTCTCAACGGTTTACTGCCTCACCTTGGCTCGGAGGTGTTCCCAGGCGTCGGGCTGCGATGTACAACCGGAGGGGTTCACCCTGCCAAGGTCTCCCGAGCTGAGGAGTCCAGCGTTTCCATTAGGAAGCCCAGTGAAGACTAATGACAGGGTCCACCACCGTCCTGGTATTGAACTAGTCGCATGGTGGCAAATCTCCCTCTGATCAACATGGGTAGCGGCTGCCCGCAGTGGTGATGACGTGGGGTAGACTTTGGCTAGGCTGACTTTCGAACTCCACAGAACCACAATGGCTGAGCCAGCAAAGCTCTGAAAAACTGGAAATTTTGCTGGGACCGTTAGCACAACCAGTGAGGACAGGCCACTCAAATATTCAAGTAGGAATGTATGCATATCAGACCACCAATTAGTGATAATGGCCGAAAATTCGTAATTGTTCCTCTTCAGTTAGATGTTGAGATGACAGAGAAACATTTTGAAGACGCTTGCCTTTATCGTCCATCACCAGAAAATGAATTCAAAAGTCAGAACCGAGAATTGAACACGGAATGGCTCAAAGCTTATATCTACTTATCAAAACTCATAAGTTGATATCCACTGATAATCGTGGGTCGTACCGGCTCCTCATTATTTAATGCTAAATCCTTGGCAAATTGTGCAGACGGGCACACGGATAGAATAGCATAGTTAATAACCATAATATTCATCCAGTTGCTAAAACACATCCCAGTCCATCTTGTGAGTGATCAAATGTTGCTAGACCGTCTACGTCACTCTTGGAATGGGTTTGCAACGCAAGCCGTCTAATTTTATGATTCTTATGCAATACGAAGGAGCAATAAATATGTATGGCTTCTCAATTCAGGAGCTCATGGTTCACTTAAAGGAGTGCCTAAGCTGCTCGATCATCAGATGGTCCGGGAAGTATTACGAACAAATGAGAGGGTTGGTAATGGGACTGCGACTTGCACCAACCTGCTGTTGCTGCATTTATCTCTAAGGTGGGGATTCCAGCGATCTATCTACTACCACTACTCTCCTCTAGATGTATAGATGCTTTATCATTTGCTCAACATAAGGAGAGATGGGCGGGAGACGGTGATTGCATATGTTCAGTACGGAGTACCTTTTCTGTTGTAAAACGTGCCGTTCTAAACGTACTGGCTAAAAAGGTAGACCATCCTGCGTCCTTATGAAGGAACATCTTGTCGGCAAATTTAAACTGAAACCGAATACTGCGCCAGGCGCTCATAGGGCACAGAAACAAAACGGAGATTTCGAAGAAGAAGTCACTACACTCGAAAAGCAATCTAATAGATAAGCGCCCATAACTCTGGAAGCGTTATAAACTTTAAAAATACAAAAGACGAAACCAAATGAGGTACATTTTGTGACCCTACGCGATATCGTGCCATACCTCGAGACGACTTCTTCTTGAGCTTGGCCAATGTATGACCGTGCGGTTGGTCTCCAACAACAACATAAAGAGGTGGACTCATAAACAATGGAACGGTGGGCCATTAAAAGGATATATTCGCAACGAAAAAAAATAAACCTTCTCTCGGTGTTGATTACTCCATTAGGGATTTGCTGTGCATTCGACTTTACTGAGCATAGTTAGAGGTGAGTGAATGCACATCTGGCCTATACACCGACTGACGATGGCCTGTCGATGTATCCTCAGTGCTGCTGTCTTCCAAGGTATGTCTGCTACGAGGGTATGAAAGGCCTTATGAGCTTGGGGTGCAGGATTGATTCCATGTGTAGCGCAGAGCGACTCTAGCCACAGTGCCACAAGCGCCCTTATGTTCACTACGCGAATGTAAATTTATGTATCGGGTTTTTTCTGCTGGGGTTATGAAAGTGTTTGACTAGCAAGATTGCTTGCCATCTTAATTCTTCCAGATTAGGAGAAGGGCGAAACAGCCTAAACGTTAGTTATTATGAGTTAATATACTGATGACTGGTATACTCGTATCTGCTCGCCGAGAACATTGTAGACTATTTATCAATGCCAAAGTTAGTAGGAAGCCGGTACTGGGATAAGCAAAATAGTTCAGCTCTCCGAGAATTTTTTCACTAG